TGTTAACCGCGATGTGTATTATATGTACACATGTGCATGTGTTATAAGTATATATGGCCCGTGTTATATACATATTTTTACACGATGTTGTAATTGTTATATTTATATATATCCGTCGGCCCGTGTTATATACATATGTTTACATGATATTGTAATTGTTATATGTATATATATCCGTCGATCCGTGTTATATATATATACCTATACACGATGTGTATAGATGTGTGATGGTTGCTAACCACGATTGGATCGATGTATATATACCCGTCGGTTCGATTTTATTAGGCTTTGTTCGATTTAATGAGCCTTAATCGACTTTATTTGGTTTTATTGGGCCTTAATCCAATTTCTTGGACTTTATTCAGTTTTATCGGGTCTTAATCCAAATTCGGTTTTATTGGGTCTAATGGGCTTTATTCGATTATATTTGCCTTAACCCATTTATTGGGTTTTGTTCGGTTTTATTGGGCCTTACTCCATTTATCGGGCTTTATTGAGTTTATCGGGCCTTCATGGGTTTTATTCAGTTTTATGGAGCCTTAATGGGCTTTGTTCGGTTTAATGAGCCTTAATAAGTTTTATTTGGTTTTATTGGGCCTTAATCCAATTTATTGGACTTTATTTGGTTTTATTGTGCTTAATGGGTTTTATTCGGGCTTTATTGAGTTTATCGGGCATTAATGGGCTTTATTCTATTTTATTGGGCTTTATTGAGTTTTACCGGGCCTTAATGAACTTTATGGGCTTTATACGGTTTCATTGGGCCTTAATGGGCTTTGTTCAGTTTTATTGGGCCTTAATGGGCTTTATTCAGTTTATCGGGCCTTAATGGGCTTTAATTACCTTTATTCGGTTTTATTGGGCCTTAATCTATTTATTAATTATTAATTTTTATAATTTATTAATAAATAATAAATATTTGATAATTTAATAATTATTCATTAATTAAATTTATAGTTATAAATTAAAAAAGTAATTTAATAAATTAAAAAAATTAACCTTTGAGCATCGGAATTCCCCTCGGAAATCCGTTGCTGACTTTAGCAATATAAAGTCTAGGTTACATCTGCTTCTGTTCACAATCAAAAACGAGAGACAAATCGAAAACGAGAGACAGCAGATCGAAAAGGAGAGACAGCGTCGCCACCCAGGCCCGTCGCCACTGGCGTCGTCGTCAACCACCACCATCGTCCCCGGTCACCACCATCGTCCCCGTCACCACCAGCGTCATCGTCGGCCATGACCACCGGCTTCTGTTGCATCGATGCAATCGCCGGCCATGACCACCGGCTTCTGTTGCATCGATGCAATCGCCGGCCA